TAATATATGCAAAAAATCTCCAAGAGATAAGAAAACAAAGACTAGACTATATGTCTCTGTGAAGCACCTTGTTAGACCCCTGGGTTAAGCTCTGTAGTGCTGGTGGTAGCAATGTGTGCTGCTATGCAGGCATGGTCTGGGTTGTGGGGGCAGGAAGGGTGGGATGGAGAGCTTGGATGATTAGCCAAGCTCTGCTTCTCTCTCCGTGATTGCCTCATGCTGCAAAGAAAGAGCCAAGGAGAGGAGAGCAAGAGAAACGCTTGCTCTGACATCTAGGGCACCTATACACATGCAGTGAGGCTGCTCCCACATGCTGTAATTACAACATGTCAGAGCAGACTTGATTAATTGAGTCTGCTGGAGTGTGGTAATTACTGCGCTCCAGTAGACTCCACCATCATGTTTGATGAGCTTTACTTAAAGCACCCCCACTGCCCTTTTTCAGCATGGGGATGCTGATGCATGAGATGCTCTGAGAGCCGCTCTAATTAAGGCACCCCCCCTACCCCCACTACCACCACCACCACTCCTGGAGCACATGTATAAATGCCCTATGAGCCCAAATAATGGGTTGGTTAATCTGGACCTGACCATCATGAATCTCTGGGGAAAAAATGTTTTGCAGTAGCCTCAGAGGTGATCTTCAATGAGGTGAAATGGATTTATGGCCAATTTGGTTTTTCTGATTTAAAAAAAAAAAAGGCAGGACTGACTGCACTGAGAGAAGAAGGCCATGTGGTTTTTAAGGCTTATTTTTTTTTTAAGTTTCAGAAACTGTTACATCTGCTCTTTCCTGCAGGACTTCTGGGGTGGGCAGCATCAAAGGGAAAGTAAGTGCTGAGCATCTAAAAGCTTGCGTGTCCTAAAGCGCTGTCTAATCCGTTGACTCGTAGTACTCTCCATCATGTCTGATGGACTCTTATGGTGATACCAGGGGCCATGGCCATTCAGGTTGGGGGTACTAGACTGGTGGATGACCACATGGCCTCCAGCTTCTAGGATAAGACCCATGGACAAGGGGCAAGACTGCCCTGAAGACCAAAACAAGAGGTGCTGTGTCCCTCCCTAGTGAGCAGCTGGAAGAACAGGTAGGTTGTGTATATCTTATCCTGTGTTTTTGTCCTGGCCTTTCACCATGTGATTTGCACCATACCAGCTTCCCACAGGCCTGTTGGGGCAAATTCCAGGGTGCGTAAAGACAGGGTGTAAATTCCAACTTGCTCAGGCGAGGTGAATACCGTACTCAGTTACTGAGATTAAACAACTTCAAGCCGTGATCCTATCAGCAGGGCTAGAGGGGAGCGAGCGATGGAGAGTTGTTCTAGTTTCTGTGCTCTGATACCATGAGCATGGGCAGCAGATACAAAAACCTCAGAAAGACAGAAGGTTGTTGATGGCAAGTGATGCCTTGTCCCATGGAAGGAGCTGTCTTCCAGACACCAAAGCCATTAAATACAAAGCAGGGGACTGTATTTTCTGTTCATAGTATATATGTGTTTGTGATGGGAGAAATGGCCTCTCCATAATCCTTGCTGTTATAAAATCCTCCCTGAAGGTTATCTAGCAAATAACCTCGCTTCCCCACCTTCCCCTCAGTCCCTGTTTCACTTGGGCTTTGTTTAGCTGTGAGGGGAAAATGTGCTGTAGATGGATTAGATTCCTAAAAGCCCTCTGACAGCTGAAGTGTGCATTGATATGGCACCAGCAGTGCCTCTGTTCAAAGCTTACCCTTCTTTGGGGCTGGAGCCGGAGAGGCAGAGAGAGAGATGTGCCCGACTGTTGCAGATGGACCCGATCGCTTAGGCCTGATCAAACATTGCTCAGTGTAATTGCATTAGAAGTTCTTGGGCTTTTAAGGTAAGGAATGTCTTCTCCATGCGCTAAAGCATGCTAATGAGTGGTGGTCATTGAATCCAGCCTTGTCAGCGATCCAGGCTGGGAGCAAGGTAACTTGCAGGCACTGGATTTCACAAGAAATGATTTTTTCCCCCTTCCTCAAGTGATCTATACTTGATAAGTTCTTCAGTGCCAGCGGCAGCATAAATACGGCAACTGGAAGCCAGCCAGCTTGAAAAAACTGAGCAGAGAAATGTACCAGGAATAGAATGGACAAACAGGACCCGAAATCTGAATTGACCTTTTCTTGCCTTCCTTTGCTTACAAGAAGTTGTTTGCTCTGCATAGCACAGTGTTCCCTCATTTACTTTCAGTAACTGGTTTTCCTTTTGCTTAATCAGACAAGCTTGTGACACACAGGAAAGGCCAAGCTGTGCCCTGGTAGACTTTTTTTAACCAGTAAACCTCTTGGGATAAGATAGGATAGAACCAATGAAAAGGCCTTGTTGGTCATAATTGGGATTTTCTTGATACCAGAGTCCAACTTTTCCCGGCCCTATCTTACAAGGGGACTTGATGGACCAGAAGAGAATCCATAAGATGTCTCCTGATTCAAATCAAGTCTGATAATAACTAACCAGTATTACTGACTGATGACTGTCCTGTGGCCTGTGAGAGAGGAGTTGGGTTTTTTATTTAAAGTCTTCATGTCCTAAACCAATCCTGCCACATGCTACAACCCTTTGGAGACAGGCAGAACTCTTCTGCTGACTCCCTGTGACAGCCAAGACTAGGTGAGTTTTACCATCCATAACCCCAGAGCAAAAGGATGTTGGGATCTGAGACAAAGGGAACTTGGGACATGGATGGAGCAGTCCTCGAAAAAAGACCTGTGCAGAGCCAAGCACAAGAAACTGCTTGCACTGAGGTTGGTTTTGCTGCTTGTATTCAAATTTATCATGTGGGATTAGGGGACTGACAGCAAGGGTCTCTAAAGGTGACTTCCCCAGGTGTTATCCCCCATTGACAAATATGATCTCACAAACCACTTGCTCATGTAGTCATAGAATCATAGAAAATTAGGGCTGGAAGGGACCTCAGGAGGCCATCTAGTCCAACCCCCTGCTCAAAGCAGGACCATCCCCAACTAAATCATTCCAGCCAAGGTTTTGTTGAGCCGGGCCTTAAAAACCTCCAAAGGGTGGAGATTACACCACCTCTCTAGGTAACCCATGCCAGTGCTTCATCACCCTCCTAGTGAGAGAAGTTTTTCCTAATATCTAACCTAAACTTCCCTTGCTGAAACTTGAGACCATTGCTCCTTGTTCTGTCATCTGCCACCACTGAGAACAGTCCAGCTCCATCTTCTTTCAACCCCCTCCCCTTCAGGTAACTGAAGGCTGCTATCAAACCCCCTCTCAGCCTTTTCTTCTCTAGACTAAATAAGCCTAGTTCCTTCAACCTCTCCTCCTAAGTCATGTGCCCCAGTCCCCTAACCATTTCCATTGCCCTCTGCTGGACTCACTCCAACTTGTAGTGGGGGGCCCAAAAATGGACGCGGTTCTCAGGTGTGGCCTTACCAGTGCTGAATAGAGGGGAATACTCACTTCCCTTGATCTGCTGGCAATGCTCCTACTAATGCAGCCCACTATGCCATTAGCCTTCTTGGCAACAAGAGCACACTGCTGACCCATATCCAGCTTATTGTCCACTGCAACCCCCAGGTCCTTTTCTGCAGAGCTGCTGCATAGCCAGTCAGCCCCCAGCCTGTCCTGGTGCATAGGATTCTTCCATCCTAAGTGCAGGACTTTGCATTTGTCTTTGTTGAACCTCATGAGATTTCTTTTGGCCCAATCCTCCAATTTGTCTAGGTCTCTCTGAATCCTAGCCCTACCCTCTGGTGTCTCTGTTACTCCCCACCCCAGCTTGGTGTCATCTGCGAACTTGCTGAGGGTGCAATCCATCCTATCTTCCAGATCCTTAATGAAGATATTGAACAAAAGCAGCCCCAGGACCAACCCCTGGGGCACTCCACTTGATACCGGCTGCCAACTAGACCTAGAGCCATCGATCACTACCCGTTGATCCCAACAATCCAGCCAGCTTTCTATCCACCTTACAGTGCATTCATCCGACCCATACTTTGTTAACTTGCCTGCAAGAATACTGTGGGGACTGTATCAAAAGCCTTGCTAAAGTCAAGGTATATCACACCTACTGCTTTTCCCGCATCCACAGGGCCAGTTATCTTGTCATAGAAGGCAGTCGGGTTGGTTAGGCATTACTAACCCTTGGTGGATTCATGCTGACTATTCCTGATCGCTTTCTTTTCCTCCAAGTGCTTAGACATGGATTCCTTGAGGACCTGCTTCATGATTTTTACAGGGACTGAAGCTGACTGGTCTGTAGTTCTCTGGATTCTCCTTCTTTCTGTTCTTAAAGATGGGCACTATATTTGCCCTTTTCCAATTGTCCAGAAATTTCAACCGATTGCCACAAGCTTTCAAAGATAATGGCCAGCAGCTCTACAGTCACATCAGCCAACTCCCTCAGTACCCTTGGATGCATTGCATCCAGCCCCATGGACTTGTATATGTCCAGCCTTGCTACATGGTGCCAAACCTGTTTTTTCACAATTGAGGACCGCTCACCTTTTCCCCAAACCGTGCATGCTGGCGCAATTATCTGGGAGCTGACCTCGCCTGTGAAGATGGAGGTAACAACTTGATTGCTTCCCCCATTCAGTAAGGGACCCACATTTTCCCTGACCTTCCTCTTGTTGCTAACATACTTGCAGAGACCCTTCTTGTTGCCCTTCACATCCCTTACTAGCTGCAACTCCAAATGTGCTTTGGCCTTCCTGATTTCATCCCTGCATGCCCAAGCAATACTCTTATACTCTTCCCTAGTCTTCTGTCCAAGCTTCCACTTCTTGTAAGCTTCTTTTTTGCGTTTAAGCTCACCAAAAAGTTAGCTGCTAAACCAAGCTGGTCACCTGCCATATTTACTATTCTTCCTGCACGTTGGGATGGTTTGTTCCTGCACCCTCAGTAAGGTTTCTTTAAAATACAACCAGCTCTCTGGGACTCCTTTTCCCCTCAGACTGGCCTCCCAGGGGATCCTGCCCATCAGGTCCCTGAGGGAGTCAAAATCTGCTTTTCTGAAGTCCAGGACCCTTACTCTGCTGCTCTCCTTTCTTCCCTTCCTCGGGATCCTATTGTCTCATGGTCACTGCTGCCTAAGTTGCCGTCCACTTCTAAATCCCCCACCTGTTCGTGCGCAGCAGGTCACAAAAAACACAGTCCCTAGTTGTCCTCTCCAACACGTGCACCAGGAAGTTGTCTCCAATGCTCTCCGAAAGCTTCCTAGATTGCCTGTGCACTGCTGTATTGCCCTCCCAACACATGCCAGGGTGACTGAAGTCCCCGTGAGAACCAAGGCCTGAGATCTGGAAACTTCCATTAGCTGTCTGAAAAAAGGCTCATCTACCTCATCCTCCTCAACCAGTGGTCTATAGCAGACACCAGCCGTGACAGCACCCTTGTTGCTCTCCCCTCTGACGCTAGCCCAGATACTTTCAATAGGTCTATCTCCAATCTCATACTGGAGCTCTGAGCAATCAAGCAGCTCTTTATACATGAAGTGCAACTCCTCTTCCTCTTCTCCCCTGCCTGTCTTTCCTGAGCAGTTTGTACCCCTCCATGACAGTGCTGCAGTCATGCAAGCTCCCACCACGTCTCTGTTATTCCAGTCGCGTCATAGCCCTCTGACTGCAAGGCCTTCCTGTTCTTCCTGCTTGTTTCCCAGGCTCTCTGCATTGGTGTACAGACACCTGAGCTAACTGATTGCCCTGCTTTCTCAGTACGAATAAGGAGGCCATCTCTGTTGCCCCTCTCCTCTTGTGCTTCTTCCAAGTCACCCACTTACCTCAGGGCTTCAGTCACTAGGTTAGTGAGCCTGTCTGTGAAGATGTTCTTCCTTCTCTTTGTCAGGTGGATCCCATCTCTTCCTAGCAATCCTTCTTCTTAAAACAACATCCCATGGTTGAAGAAGCCGAATCCCTGCTGCCGACATCCCCTGTGCAGCTATGCATTGATCTGCAAGATGCACCTGCTTCTGCCTGGGCCCTTCGCTTTGACTGGAAGGATTGAGAGCACCACCCGTGCTCCCGTCCCCTTCACCCTTGCACCCAGAGCCCAGTAGTCACTCTTGATCTGCTCGGGGTCACCCCTGGCAGTATCATCAGTGCCCACAAGGATATGCAGCATGGGGTAGTAGTCAGGGGGTCGGACAAATCACAGTAATCCTTCCATGATATCTGATGCGGGCAGCAAGCAGCAGTCCTGCTTCCAGACCTCAGCAAGCAGCAGACCTCCCAGAACAACAGGTCAGGCTGGCAGATGGATATCTCGGTCGCCTGCAAAAGAGACACTCCAGCCACCGCCACCAGTTGCTTTCTCTTTGTGGCAGTGGTCTTTATCCTCCCCACCTTGGGGATTCCTGACTTGGGTTTTGCCACCAGTGGAACGTGCTCCTCCTCCTCTGTTGCTGGTGCTCCATAGCTGTTCTCCAGGCAAACCACTGCAGGGGGAATGATGGCAACTTCTTGCTGCCAGGAGTCACAAGCTTCCACCTTCTACCTTCCTGAGAGTCCATGCCCTCTTCCTTTTCTAGCACCGCCTCTGGCTGTCCTTCTTCCACGGTCCTGGAGGCTTCCTCCGCATGGAATCAGTGAAGTCCTCATGGTGGAGGATGCTTTGGAGCCTTGCTACCTCCTCCTGGAGCTCTCTTGCCTTCTCCCTGAGGGGCATAACCAGAAGGCACCACTCACACTGCAGGCACGCTGCCACCTGGCTAATGCTGGAAGGAGCCTGCAAGTCGCAGTCTGCACAGCGCCAAACCAGGACCTGGGTGGAAGCCTTGATGGTGTGTGGTCCTGCCTGGACAGACACCTCACAGGTGGAAGCAGAGAGAGAGGCTGGAAGTGGCAGTGGCTCTGGGATTGTGGCATCCTCCAGCCATCTCCCTGGGTCTTCTAATCTGCTGCCTCTCACTTCTTGCCTCTCTTCCCGAGCAGACCTTCCCTAGCAAACTCCTCTGTAGCTGGCCTGTTTGCTGGTCTTTGATCCTGAAGGGTTCTTTTTCCTGCAAATGCTTTTCCTCTGGGCAAGTGTACAGTGAAGGAATGTGTGAGAGAGTTTCCAGGCAAACTACCCCTTGCTCTGGACTCTTGTTAAACAGAGGGATGAAGTATTGGTCTAGCTGCTGAGTTTTAGTTGCTTAAAATAAAGCTGTTTGGCAACTGTTGATCCTTCTGGATCATGATGTTTGCATGAGGGGTCACCTAGACCAGGGGTTGTCAACTGGGGGTACATGCAGGTGGGGATGGAGCACTGCCACGCAGGCACCACCCATCTGGCTGGACACATGATGGTTCCTGACGCTCCGCATCCAGCTGCATGCCACTCTTCCCCCGCCCCCCGCTTGGCATCCGGAGGTACGCTGCTCCGTGTCCAGCTGCCAGGTGGGTACAATGGTTCAAAAAGGTTGAAAACTCCTGACCTAGACCTTCGATGCATATGCCTAGGCAGGAGTGTTGGAGGAGCAGAGGCTGCCCAGACCTTTAGGCTACTGAGCAGAATCCAAAGGCCAGACTGAGTGCAGAAGTTTGGTGCCTCCATGGCTGTATTTGTATAAGCATCCAGGAATTGAACCCGGGTCCCCTGTGTGGCAGATAAGGATGCGACCACTGAACCACAGGGGACTGTAATAAAGCTATGTACATTGGTCTTAATTGCATATTAAAAAAAAAGCTTATTTTACAGGCTCCCCTTCAAAGACAGGGGCAGCAAACTGACCTGTGAACTGCTTGCAAACTGTCCTGTTTGCTTCTCCCTGGTTGTCTGGAGTGTCTCCTTATATACCTCTCCTGGGCCAGGACTGGCTTAGGCCCCTTTGTTAAAGCCTTTTGTCACACCTAGGCAGAAATCAATCAGCAATCAGCCCACCCAGTTGCTCGGAGCACAGACCCAAGCGCATAATCCACCAAACAACCCTCAGCAAGCCAACCACACGGGCCACTCTGGCTCACTTACCTTCCCAGAGCAGGATCTGGTGCCTGGTTCCTCTTCCCCTTCCTCCTATTGCTCCCAGCAAACTTCTTGCAAGTTGTCCTGTTTGCTTTCCCCTGTCCATTGGCCTTAGGAGACTCTTCCCGCTTTCCAATAAGAAATTAACTTACCCTATTTCCGTTTCAACACTAGAGAAAGAGTCAGCCTGCTGAGGTAGGTTTGAGTTCGGGAAACCCAATTCAGACATCCCTGGGTTCTGATCCATCTTAAAATAGTCTCAGTCACTTTAAATAAAAAAGGATCCTGGTTCTTGAGTGTCCTCAAATATAAATGTGCAATGAAATCAAGGAGGGAATTTGGTGCAATTAATATAATATGTCTGTATAATCTAAAGAGACTCTATCCCTTAAAAGAATTTAACTAAAGTGCAGTTCTAATATAATGACTTTTTCCAGACTAAACCTCTAAAAACACTGATGGAAAATTAATTTATTCTATTTATTTTTCCCTTCCCAGTTGAATCTGCTTTTATTTAATGCCAGATAGTATGGTTGAACTTTCAATGGGGCTCATTTAAAAAACTTCTAGAATTGATTGATTTAGAGCTGCCTTCCCCACATTTAGCTAGATAGATGCTTGAATCTGAGTGTCATGAGCTACACAATAACAGCATCACTCAACAGCTCTTGTTACGTTTTGGCTGTAACTTCCACCATTATAGATTTTTTTTTTTTTTTTTTTAAACCAACCTATTTTTTAGAGCTGAGCCTGGTTTGACAACTCTCAAGAGAAATCAGCTCCTCCATAATAGATCATAAATGCCTAACAAGTGCCTCAAACCTTTAAGGCCTGGAGTGACCACTGCCCACATCTCTAAAGTCCAGTCATCTGCGGGCTGGCTTGTAAGAGACAAGGGAGCCAGCTGGGATGGCAGTGGTTCTGCAAGAGGTAGGACATATGCCTGCCTTTGTGATCCCCTGCTGGGAACCAGGTCGGCTACTGGTCCAACTCACAACAACCCCAGGGCTGCTCTGACTTTTCACTAGCTGGGGATTATCGGAGGCACTGCAGCTCTGCCCCTGAGCTACACTATTTAGGACTGCTGTAGCTAGTGCCAAGTGTTTAGCTAAGAGTGCAAGCTGGGTGTGAACGGGGGCTTGTTCACACCTAGGTTAAAATGGCAGCAATTTAGTGGCAGGTTTTGAACTGACCCCAATGACTATCATAATGCTTCTCCCTCAGACCCCCTGGCACTGTCCAGTGACCTTTAGTAAAAGCGAGGTCAACTCTCTGCAAAGTCCATCGGCTTTAGAAAATTACCTTCTAAAACAAACCACTGCCTTTACGCGGAGACAAATGATTTGTTTGGTTTATGGCAGCTTGCCCTTCTTACTCTATGCTATTCTTAACTTTTCCCTTATGACTCCCTCCCCTAGTTTCCTCCACTAGTCTGCCTTCAACCGCCCCATCACGTAGGTAGGGACTAAGCAACAATCTGCTTTTTGTGTAGTCAAGAGAGGAAGAGCCTTGACGTTTTTTTCTAAACAATAGTCTTATTATGCGTCTCTTGTCCAGGTGAAATAGAATTCCTTATTAACTAAATGTGTTTTTCTGATTTGTTTCTCATTTGAAACTCATGGGGAAAATGTGGGCAGCCTTTCCAAGCTCAGAAACCTGCGAAAAGGACACTTGTACAAATAGGCTGAGCGTTCCTGCCTCTGTGAATAGGAGCTATTGATTCATTAAGCTGAGCCACTGAGAGGGCAGCAGCGATTTCCTGTGAACTGACAGCGTGTACCGCAGCACTGGCTGCTGTGATTGCTCTATTTCAGGGTAGGTCAGTTTTTGTCTCCCAAATGCCTGTAGCGCTGGGTTCTGCCTGAAAAATATGGGGTGAGCCAAACCCTTGGAGTGTTTATCTGTCCTTATTCAGCCAAATTTGAGAGAGAAGAAATCATGCCTTCTCCCCATCCCTCAGATAGAGGGGAACTTGTACACGACCTGAACTCCTCCAGGGCGAGAAGCGTTCATGCTTCTGTAGCATATCCCCAGCCTGCCCCTAGCCCCCCATTGATCCAGCACTCAGTGAATGGGTGAGGGCCAGAACAGGAGGGTATATGGGCCCTTGCCCTGCCTGATCAACAATAAATGATTATGTTCATATGGGTAGTGGAGTCCAAAGGTCCAGCCAGTCCCTGAGGTTAGCATGCTTAAGGCACACCAGTTTCTATTGCCGGTGGGGCATAAAAGGGCAACGTGGCTGGCATCACATCCTGCTGCCTTTTGACTCCAAAGTTTCAGTGAGCAAGTGCCTGTTTACACCTGGGTTGGCAGGAAGCCACCTGCAGCAGAAGCGTACAGCTGGGCTCCCACTCAGGCCTGGGAAGCCCCAGCAAGATGCCATCACCATTCTGCCCATGCACCCCAGCCAGACAGGTAGGGTCTGTATTCAATTTCTTGCAGCTCCTTCAGTGCTGGGGAGTCCCAGGTCAGTTGTGGTAGCACAGGGGACAGAGTGAAGGGCTGCACTGTGCAGCATAATGATGGGTGAAGTTGGCATGTGCCCTCAGCTGCAGGGTTTGCTGCAGGTGTCCATGTATGTGCTGGCCAGCCAGTCAGCTTGCTCGTGCTCCTCTGGGGCATCAGAATAGCCCTTGCTGCTCAACAGCACATCCTCACATCCACTCCCTTTGTGCCAGGGCTGTGCTGACACGGGATTTGTACCAAGATAGGGTGGAACATGGCAGCACTATTGGGAAGCTGCACTCCTACACAGATCCATTTCTCGGTCAGGAAAGGAGGCTGATGCTGGCAACCTGACATCAGCCTTGGAAACCCTGTAGCATCTTCCGGCACCTGATATGAAGAGAGAGGCTATGGTCCTATAGTCGGAGTTTTTGCAGATGCAGGGGACCTGGGTGCAATTCCCCTTGCTCCACCACAGCCTCCTTCCTACATAAATCCGTTTATTCTCCATGCATCAGTCCTGATCTGACCAGTAGTAGGTACTTGGGTATTAGAGCCATGAGGGCTAGGGAAGTCTCTGTGATAAAGGTGGGTTGATATTGAAATGAGAGACTGAACAGAGGGTGCTGGAAGAGGGATACATGCAGGCTTCCCACGGGGTGTGTTGGGGCAGGTGTTCTTATGACCAGATCTTCCTTATTCTGACTGGAGCACCGAGGCAGTGCAGCAGATGGGCCTCTGATTACTGGCTTGTCCCATTGCTCTACTCCGTGTCTGAGGGATGCAGCTACACATTAAGTTTTAAATCACCAGGGAATTGTCTCCAATGTTTCAAGGAGCCTTGGCAGCACACTTCCCTCCCTGATTTGATGTTAAGTGAGTGGTAATAGCACACCCAGGCATTGAGAAAGGAGCTGCATGACAATTTCTCTTTAACTCTGGAGACCTCATCAGCCTCTACCTTGACACCTCAGCTAGGGATATTTGTAGGAAGGTGATGCAGTGCATGTATTCAGCTGCCCACAAAGTTGTTGGAGGCCTAGAGGCTGGTCAGCTAAGTCTGGCAGTCAACATCTTTGTGATGATTAGCTATTAGCTTCATTAACCAATGGAGGCGGTGAAGCCTTTTGGTCATTTGTCCTTCCTGAGGCTGGTGCTGGCTTATTTTATGAGAAGAAACCCCCCTGAGTAAAAGCTGGCAGAGCAACTGTAATTGTTGCTGTGCCCCCATGCCCTCGTTCTGACTGGGGAAATGGATGCAGCCATAACAGCTGAGGAGGCCTTTCAGCTCGCAGCATTTGGGCTCCTGCGGTGTGCTTCAAGGTGTTCAGCTGGAAGGTCTTGGAGCGTGGAGAAGAGTTCATTACTTGCAGTAATCTTAGGGAGGAGCTGCCTCAGTTTTTGTTGGCAAGCTCCTACTGAAAAACATTAGACCACTTTTATTTCGGCAACCCATCAAAGATTACCCAAGTATAAAACGTGGCTTTCTGTCCCTCTGTTTTTTTCCATCCGTAGGCAGGAAGGTCATGTTTTCCTATCTCTGATGGGGTGGGGGAGGTTGTGAGGAATCATGTTCATAGGCATCTATGAGGATGAAAGAGTATTATCATCGCAAAGACTAAGATTGCCCAAACAAGCCAGGCAATGCCCGTGGTGAATGCATGGCAACTCTCTGACCAAAGGCCTTGCACTTTTTTGGCACTTCAGCCCCAGAGGCCCAGTCAGCGATGTGGAAGTCTGAGCAAGAAACGAGCCTTTCTTGTAAAGCCCTTGCAAGAGGCTTGTTCCTCCTTCAACTTTCCTCCAACCAAAAGACTCCCCCAACCCTTTTGAAGGGCACCCTGCCCCTAAATTCTCTGTCCAGGGTCCTGGATAACCTTCCATGCTAGTTGTAGGCTCTCCTGCCCTCTCTCCGTGAGTTTGCTTGGACGTTCAGTGTCTGGCCACCCCTCGCTACTCTGGCTTGTACAGCCAGGGAAAATCTTCTCCTGGGGTCAAGTCCTTGATTACTTGAAACCAGACAGGGTCTCCATAGCCTGGCACCCTCACTGTGCACAATTAGAGTTTCCCTCACAGCCATTCCCCCAAACCCATCGGGGGATAAAAACAACTTTAAGTGGTTCCGACTGGGAACAAATTACTCTCCCTCCACCCCCCACATGCACACACAATTAACGTGTAGGACTCACTGCTGAGGTAGTGGGACCGAAAGCCTAACCAGATTGTTTTAAGCAATAACAGCAACATGCCTAAGAACGTCAGCAATTACCTTAGACAAAATTAAAAGTCATACGCGATCTACATCCTCATGCCTCAGGGAAGGAGTTGGCCACTACACATCTGTGATCGAGAAGAAACTCCCCCCATGGGCAGATTGTTCCACGGATGCCTACAGAGGACAGAGGAAGTTCCCTTTTGAAAGTACAGGTGTTGGACTTGCTCGGTACTGCAGGATGGATCCGGACCACAGCTCTTTCTGCAGTCCAGAACACCTTCAAGAGGAAATTCACACCTTCAAGAGCAAATTGGATGCTTATCTTGCTGGGATCCTATGACCCCAGCTGACATCCTGCCCTTTGGGCGGGGGGTGGACTCCATGATCGTCCGAGGCCCCTTCCAGCCCTAATGTCTATGAAATCTATGAAATCCAATCACCATTGAGGTGTGGTGGCATTAATCCCCATGGCTGCTGCATCTTGTGTTTGCTGCTCGTGCTCCCCCCACTTTTCCCCTATTGTAATTTTAGTTGACAGGAGTGGCTAAAAACACTCACTTTGGCGGCAGGTAAGGGAGTGGGAGATGAGCAGAGTTAGCTTCTTGAGTCCCAGAGCCATGTGAAAATGGCAGCTTTAGCAGCTGCAGAGATTACCACCACTTGCTCAGGGGCCCCAACAGCCACAGCATGAGCCCTGTGGGCTAAACACAGACCACAGAGGTGGGTAGTCCAGCCTGTGAAAAGCCCCATGGGCCATATGTTAGACACCTCTGCTCTAATACTGAGCTGAATGGGTCTGGTCCATGCTGTGGTTACTTATCCTCCTAAGAGCAAAAGTAAAACTAGCATCACTATCTAAAGCAGCAGTGGATCAGGTTTCTAAAGGTATTCTGATACCTAAAGAGGTAGATTTGTGGGGGAGGGTGGTCTTGGACTTTTCAAAATCTTAAGCAACTGTAGAACTGAGCTCCTACTATTGATCTAAACCCATTCACACCCAAACTAAATTTGAGCTTCTCAGTGCAAGCACTGGCTGGCTGGTGGGAACAGGACAGTGGGAGGCAGCAGTATGCATTGAACAGGCTTTCTCGCCATGTGGTTGTTATGGTAATGGCAGTTTTGGGGTCTGCTTGGGAGGCAGCATGCAGCAAGCTACATTTGTTGCTCTGTATTACAGCAAATCGATAAATGAGCAGCAGCCTTCGTTGAGATGGAGCCAGGGAAGGCATTCGGGAGAACTGAATGGCAAAGCGGCTTCCTGGAGCACAATTGATCACCAAAGACCTGTCAGCCCTCGGAGCTGTAAACAACACACGTGGCTGTCTGTGTTTGTGGGGACGGCTTCAGTTATACACCTACCACTGAGATGGCCATGGCCAGCAGCTGCACCAAAGAACACCTCACTGGGTTTGACCTCAAGACAGATTTTTAGAGTCGGTCTCTCCCCTCTTCTGGGTGCAGGCACACCACTGCTAAGCATCCCACAGCATTGACCTCCTAGGGCTGAGCATACAGGTCAGGAATACTTGCACATGAGACCTACCCAGAGTATGACAAAAGAAGGCTAACTTCTTTCTTCTGAGCAGGGAAAGAACCTGAGCTCCTAAGTTTAGGCTCTGGGAGGGCAACAGGGCTAGGCCAGCTGTGGTGAACTAAATCTTTCCTTCGGTACATAGTGAAAAGTCTCGGCTCTGGGCAGGGTAGCCTGATAATGAGAAACAGTGTTCATTGGGTGGAGGCAGGTACATGCTAACTTAAAAAAATCTTGCTTGTTGTAAGGCATATCTTGGCTGCATAAACTCACTCTCCTTTGGTTAAGGTGATTTAGACACCAAGCTGAAAAAGCTTCTCTGAGTTCTTAATAGAAGTGGCCGGCATGGAGAAAGTTCTCACTTAGTTCTCCCCCACCCCCAGGTTAAGA